ACCCGATGAAAGTTGTAACTGCGTCAATGGGCTCTAAACTTTAGTTTAATAACTGTGACCTATGAGACCACAGTAGTCTGGATGTGTCACGGTTATGTCAGGTTTATATAAAATCAGTTGTAAATCGCTGACTATCCTAAGAGGTTATGGTGGATTTGGTGTCTAAGCCAGTCTCTAACCAGTTTTGATTTAAATAGCAGACCTTAATCTATAATATGTAATATGAAAACAAAGAAATAACTGTAAACACAACATTCTAAATCCTTTAACAGACTCCAGTGTACAACTGTACCATGGCTTTTAGGGGAGCTCATTTTTTGTACTGTTGCAGGAGGATATATTTCCTGATATTTTCTGAGCTGAAGTTGATGATATTGTGCTTCCACACTTCAATGGTGATGGCAAGAATAACAGTATCTTTTTAAAGTGAATTAGTGATGAATCACACTCATGCACAAATCATACATCAACAGCATCCTAATTTCTCCCTGTTTCTAGTGTTGAGGCTGCATCTCGTGCAACACAAACTTCTCACATTCACCCTCCAAACAGTCAATATTATTCTCACCGGAACAAGTTTGCTTCAATTTTTTATGAATTATTTTGCTTTCTCCTGCAAATTCTTTGCCTAGTAAATCACAACATGCATCGTAATTTTCTAGAAAGGCTGTGGTGGAATCAGACATTTTATGCCACAACAAACCCCCCAAAAAAGAGCCGGCAAAATCCTGGAGGGTCTGATATTGTCAATATTTTTGGGCTCTCATGTTTAATGGGAAAGGAATGTATTTAAACACAAAACACGCATCACAAATCAGGAAGGACGTCACAATGCTGCCCAAATCATGTTACTGTTGTGGTTTAATATTTTAATAGGTCTGCTGAGTACATTTTTGAAAGCAATTTTTCAGCCATTTAGCATACTGCTGGTCTGAAGAGACAATGTGATAACCACAGGTGCAGCCAGGTTAAATGTATTACCAGCTTATTAGACACAATGCTAGATGCAGGCTTCACAGACGAAGAGCCTGATAATGGAGGGGAAATGTATGATTTAAGCAGTCTGGCTAATGCATTAGAAAGCAGTTGAAAGCATCAGTTCTCAAGAGCGTGCGGCATACATGAAAGACACATTTTTCCACATGGCTGTCAATCAGCCATTGAGTGTGTCCAAATACTTATTCTGCAAATTAAAGACATTTCCAGATTGAGTGTTATTATTCAGGTAGCTGGTGCATAATGTGGAATTTCTGTGAGCAAAAGCAGTTACACACAAGTCAAACATAACTCACAAGGGGTGCACACTCAACTGAAGCAGCAACAACTGAGAGATTTTAATAATATAAGTTCTAATGGATTCTGACAAAATGTATTAATGCTTTACTGATCAGCAATTGTATTTTGTTTAAGGCCCTTTAAATTAAATTAAGACAAGCAGAGAAGGATTGACCTTAATCTAGATTTATGCTTTTAATTCTATAAAAAAGATCAGTACCACTTTCATGTCTGCCTACCAGCACCAATAAAGCTCACTAGTTATCATGTTAGTCAGGAAGGTTTTTTATGTGAGGCAGTGAGATTGCATAGCTTTCGTAAACACTTGTTAAAATCATATTGGATTTCAATCCAAGGCAAAATCTAGAGGCCACAAAAAATGTGAACCCGAGAGAAAGTCCAGTCTTTATAAGTAATTGAAGGATCAGTCTGGTTTGTGTGTCGACTGTTGGATGTCTTGTCTTTTGGGGCTGCTCTTAAATTAAGCACTCAGAAACTGTCTTGTAGATTGTTTGACCCTCTTCTGAAAAACGTACAACAGATTTAATAGCTTATTGTAACATGGAAAATACAACCCTCTGTTATTGACTTGCTTTGATAATATGACAACTTATAGACATTTACAAGTGCCTTATTACTATATGGCACTGATAACACTGCTCTATAAAACAGGAATTAATAGCACTAATTCCTTTCTGTCAGCATGCAGTATGCCATGTATGTGTGAATGGTCATATGCACTCCATTAATGTGTGTATATGTGTGAGTGGGTGTGTATGCCTGCATGTGTTTAAACAGACTTTCGTTAGTCAAACATTTCTATTGATTTTACCCAGCTATACAACATCCCTCTCTGTTCGTTATCATTGTGCTTTGTGAAAAAGCGAAATCCATTTCTCACGACTTGCTCTCCATCCTCCTCCCTGAGTCTCTCGACACAGGAGGGGATCGAAGCAGAGCCTCTATGAAGTCCCTGTACTGTCAATTTCCCACTGTTTCTACCACAAAAGAGAGGCACACACACGTCCATGTGTCAAAGTCATACGTAGGATTGTGCTTCACTTTTAGGACACTGTGATGGGTTTTTTGTTCTTCTTAGAAACAGAACAAGCTGTAGTTTGTTTGAATAAGATATGTCCTAAGTAGAAAACAGGCAGATTCTTCAAATAATGTAAATAATAATAAAGTATGATACTTGGAGGAAAGAGAGTTGATGATATTTTTAAAAAAACCTTGAGGTCCATTTTTAATGAAAATCAAATCTGATACAAAGTTTGGCTACCACAAAAAGGGACTATAGATCTTAGAGTGTGTAGGATTTAGTGGCATCTGGCCGTGTAGTGGCAGAAACTACGGTGGCCACAAAACACTGTGGAAACAAGGTGGTTCAACATTGTGGACTGCATGGAAGGCAACCTGCAGCATCTGTACATATAACAGGCTCATTCTAACAAAAATAACATTTCCAATATTCAGGTGATTATACACTAATAAAAACATAGTTATACATACTGTATTCCATTTCTGCCAGTAGGTCCTCCTAAATGTTACACACACTGAACCTTTAAGTAATTCAACAGATGTCAATATACATAAATGACAAATGTATTTTTTTTATATTTAAATATATTTCTGGGGCATTTTCACCTTTATTGGGTAGTATGACATTAAGAGCCAGACAATGTTGAGAGAGAGATGGGGGTATGCATGCAGCCAAGGCTGTTTGGCTGGAATTAAACCAGTGACGTTAAAGTTAATGTCGCATGCCATAATTGTATGTCAGATGTACTCCAGTACATCTGACATGACAAGGTGTTTTAGATATGAATCTATTGATGCTCAGTCACTTGGAGGCAGCGGTAACTAACTGTTTTAGCTGCTAAATGCTCCACCATGTTCTCTAGTTAGTTGCTAACATCTAGTGCCTGCTGTTTGGTGCTGAGCAGGTAGTTTACAGTTGGTTTATCAAAGCTTTTTGCTAAAAAATAAGTTTCTTCCTGTGTCAGAGAACAATACTGATCAGAGGGGAAGAGCGTGAACCAAAACAGTAAAGCTCGAAAACCAAAACAATTAGCTAAAAGACACTAAAATGCTCTGCAGAACTGAGATGAATGAAGGAGTTGGATAATAATTATCACTACGAAGGAATTAAAGCAAAAAAAACTTGACACATGAATTTGAGGCCAACAGATTTCATGGTCTCATTTGTTTGAGCTCTCACAACCGAATTGGCTATACGGTACGTACATATACTGTATACTCACTTTCAATGAAATAGCTAACAGATGTTCTTGTCAGTTTGGAAATTCTATTTCAAGCTCTATTTTCCGTCAGAGCAGTATCTGGTAAACAGTTACAAGTTGTTTGTCAGTACCTGTCAGTCTGATGTGTCTCTCCGCGCCCCTCAGTTTTTGTTACCTCTCCCTCAGTCTGTGGGGAAATTAGGGGAGTGTGTTCTTCGTCTCCAGTTAAGTCAGTGTGTGCTTACCGTAACTGTTACTGGGGTAATTAAGTGTTTCCATGCGCAGTAATTGCCAATTTAATCTTCTGTGCTCGTCTCCCCATTTGCAGTGTCGTGTCTGTCAGTCAAGCTGGGCGTGGTTTCCATGGGGATAAGTGAAGTGTAGTAGTCATTTACTTCAACCAATGGCCAAAATAAATTACTTGTAGCCTCCTAAATGGGGGTTGCTATGGAGAGGCAATTACCCTAAATTGTAATTGTGCCATACTAATGTGTCAGGCTACCTCTTAAATTAATTGCATTTTTCTCTATGAGAAAAAAATGTCTTGAGTAAGCAGTGGAAACAGGTCAAATGCTTTTTCTTCAAGGATGCTTGATTCTAGAGGTCATCAAAGCTCTTCTGAATGGGGGAAACATGATTGGTTTAAAGCGCATATTCGCCTATGAGTGTGCGTACATACTTTATCTTGTGGCAACCTGATACCATAGTCATCGTGATACACACTGAATCTGAGGTGTCAGCTTTCAGATGGGATCCCTTCCACTTGCTTCCTCCTCAGCACTCGACCACGAGACCCAGGTGCATTCATGCCATCCTTCAGGCGTAGTCCTACTTCATTTCCCTCAAGACCACCTGTTCAGCCCAATAACACACACACAAACACACACACACACACAGCAAGTTCCCTCAGCTAATGCTTACATTACGACACAGGTGATTTGACATCCACTGGACAGCACTGGTGTAGATGCTGATCCAGTTTGACTTGCCATCCGCACAGAGGAAACATTTGAGTGGGAGTGAATCCTCATTTAGATCCCTGTTAATTTTATTTTTCAGTTAAAGACACTGGAAAGTGGGCTGCCAATGGAAAAAACATGACCTGCTTCAATCTCCATTCACTGTGTGGATTAAATCAGCTCTCATCACTGCTGATCTGCCGTGAGGAATGGGATTAATCAATCGGAGACAGTACATCTATCTGCAAATTAAAAAAGGCGCTCATCACTGAACACAGAGCTCCATGGTTCTGGTGTTATTTTGGTGGCATGTTGAGTGGGTGGCTTTCTTTCAATAAGAGAACATCAATCATACAAACCTGAGATGTGTAAACTGACCAGTTTATGGAACATGTATCAAGAGATAAATATTAGGCATTGCTAGAAACTGCGGTGAATAAAAATATAGGTTGATTGACTTATGCAGAGTATTTTCGCAGCTAACATAGAAGCCAGAAACAATACAGAAAATAACACAGATGAGATGTGTTAAATACACCATTTTTAATCTTGAGTATGTATTTAAGTGTATTCAGGGTCTGTCAAACTGTGATTGGTTCAGGTTATGTCTTAAAAGACAAATAAACTGCATCAAATTTGGTAATCTGGATCAACATAGTAATGTTGCCAATGGCTCCCCACACTCAAACCTCTGATTGGATCAATATATTGTCAGTTAATGGTTCTGTTGTTTGGTGGGATTAATCACTACTGTTGCTGACAGTTGATTATACCACAGTGTCACGACTCTGACAAAGACAGCCACTTCACTGAAAAAAAGTTTAGCTGTGAAACAATGAAAATACTCTTAAGCTTTGGATAAGATTAAAGGTTACAGATCAAAAGATTTGTATGATTTATTAGATAAATCTGAATTGTCCAATATTTAATGGATGGTTTGACAGATGAACAAGAAGAATGTTGTATTTCACTGTTTGTTGGTCTCTCTCTTACAGTGAATAAGAGCTGTTTTAGTAGAGGCTTCTTTGATCCTTGACGCTGAGCATCTCTGCTGGCAGCCATCTTCTCTGTCTTGATCTGAAAAAGATGCAGCAGAGATTATGAAAATCAAACGTGACAGGTACCAGCAGTGGATCTTCTATACCTCACAGGTGTGGAACTTAAATCAAACCTATGTTGTGTGCATTAACTATACCAGGATGTGAAATACAAATGGTGTTAAAACAAAAGGCTTATATTCTACAGAATGCATTTATCTGGAGTCACTTGTTAACATTAAATGTGTTTATCATATAATCATATACTATGATATATACTTTAAAATAGAAGTTATGATGGCTACATACAATTTGAGTATTTAGAAGAGTGTGTGACATTCGAACGTGAAACTCTTAACTCAGTACTGTATGTGCAAAGTACATGCTAAATTGTGGAGTAATCAGTCAACAGCTTATTAAATCATAAATAATTAACTACACATAAACTGATTTAAAAATGAATTAATGTGGCACATTCAATCATTAATTCAATTTCCAGGGATTTCAGAAGAGGTGAAAATTACTGCAGTGATTGGTCTGATAAAATTTGCAAACTTAACGTGGCACACTGAAAAATTTTTCTTCAACCATTTCAGTGTTTCCAAACATATCCATTATACAGTAACATTATAACAAAATGTTCTCCTTACATGTGTATGTAAGCGTCACAAGTTATGATATATGTCAATTCAAGACCTCTGTGTGATCACTGTAGTCATCCAACATACTGAAGATGAATCTTAAAAGAAATTAATCTCAATGAATCTTTCAACAATATAAAATATGTGTTTTTTCTCCCACAGATCTACTACAAATGTAGTCTAGATGGGAAATCAATATGTTGATGAACATGTACAAATCCCTACTGTGCAGACATGTTTAATGATCACTGATGCTGTGCTGCTCTTTGCTGCCCTCACATGCCTCTTAAAGGAACTTTTCCTCATCTTTAGTGCAACGCGTGCCACATATCCAAACAAAGGCAGACTCCATGAAAGAATGTCTGAGCTGAAAAATGGCTTGTATTCGTTTTTGCTGGGAGATGATGTTGCTCCATGTGACTCTACAAGTTCAATGAATGTTCCAGACACAGAGTAGGGCACCTCTCCCATAGCACACATGTATGCACATACACACGTTTAAAATGGATCCTGCTGCTGCAGCTTTCCATTACAGACGGGGATTAAATTGTCACACATAGGCCTCACATATATATAGTGCTCACCTGATCCACCGGCTTCCAAAGCGAGGTAACCATCCAACAAGGAGCTGAACCCCGTCAGCCCCCCCATGGCCGCATAAGGGACATCCCTGCCTATGGGCCGACCACGTGCCTCCCTCTCTAGCTTTGTCTCAACCTGCCAAGAAAATGATTCTGAGTTCAAATCAACTAATGAAGTCTGCAACTTTAAATGGTAGCAATATTGCAAATCTATATTTAGTATTAGTAATTATTAGTTAGTTTTTTTTTTTTTACTCCAAGGACTTGTGTTTGATGTTTGACTCACCAGGGTCTGGTGGACAGAGCTGGGCTGGCCACACCCACAGGCGTAGGAGCTTTGGAACCCAGAACAGAAAGTGCCTGAAGAGAAGAGAAAATAATATTTAACTGTATAAAATTTTTTCCCCCTAGGATTGTGATAGAAATGTTACATTGTTCATCCAATCACAGCGAACAAATGTTCTTGACGTCAAACCCAAGAAGATTAGGGTTAGGGGCACGGGGTGGTTGTTAAAAGGTTTGCTATGATTGGATGATTCTGTCACCATCCTAGGAAAAAATAAAAATCTGGATAAAATGCTAGAGTTACTTTGGGCTAGGGTGATTTCATACTCACACTTTTTGCACAAGTGGCCAGTAGCTTCACTGTGTTCCTGAGGTAAGTGTTTACACCTGCAGCGGACAGGGTTCGGGCCAATTTGGGGAATAAACTGGTAGGCAGGACAATGACATCCTCTGACCTGGCATGGTAGAGCGAGGGGTCGCTCAGAGGGAACCACTTCAAAGTCAGTCTTGTGCTGCTTGTACCTGGACAAAATTACATTACTCAAAATGTGTTTGTTTATGTACGTCTATGTGTGTGGTGGAGTGCGGTGGAGAGGGATGCCTGGTGTCATGTACTACCTATGAGTACAGAAGCACTGTGTCTCAGGGCCAATGAGTTTGCAGTCGATACCCCCTGGTACCCCATAGCTCACATACAGCCTGTTGTTCAGTCGTAGGGGGAGGACCTTCCTCTTGTACTCCTCATATTGCTCTGGAGTGAACAGTTTTCCTCCATCATCATCACCTACAATCCTTGAAAAGTCAAACCATCATTGTTAACATAAGTTACATATACAATGAGCTGATAAAACTGTTATTTGTATTGTAATTTAGCTGTTACATCAATCCCTCTGCAGTTAGCATTAGCTGGTTGTCACATGCTGCTGGTGACTTGCGAGAACCCTGTAACTTAGATTAGATTAACTAAAGTCATGAGACAGAAGCATACATAACGTTACGTCTAACGTTGAGACTGACCTTCTGTACTCACAGTAGTCATCCACTGCCTTTAAAGCTGAGTTATCGAGACACACTGTCTCCATTTTTTTTTTTTAAATCCCCAAATTGATAGCTGTGGGCTTTTTTGTCTTACACGGTAAACAACTAACCACTGTTTACCGCCAGCTTTACAGTTGTCATGGAAATGGTTCACACGTCCCTCTAACGGTCCCAAAGTGAACTACAAACACACTCACACGCACGCGCACACACAGGGGGGAGCAACATTAGAAAACTTGGTAACGGCCAACGGCTATATTAACATTAGCACCGATGCTAGCTTAGCAAACCCCCTGTGCATCGTGTTTCCACAAACTTTACGAGCCTATGTTTTTTTTTACCGCAGTACACACGCTACAGTGAAACTTAACGGTTTACCGGCATTTAAGGCAATTTTACTACTCATTTTATTTTTTTTATCGCCTGTACGTTAAGTAAAATACATTTCCCATAATGCCGTGGTAATGACGCACGCAGTAGACGTTCAGGGGAACCATGACAGTCAGCACAATTGCATGCTTGGAATTTTAGCTACCGACTTTTGCCTTCTGAGTCCGTGGAGGAAGAAAGCCGAAATGACTACCAGAGTGAAGAGACACCGCAACATGAAGCTCGGCAGCTAACATTTGTAGCGCAGACAGCCGGCTGGTCGAGATATTTGAACCAGCGACAGCAACGACAGCAACGACAGCCGTGGGTTGCCAAACAAGAAGCATCATTCAGTGTCAGCCAGAGGTAACATTAGCAGCTGGAGCTCTCAGCCGAGCTCGTCTCTGCTTCTCTGGAGCCTATAAATCCATGCTTCAACCTCAAGGTAGCTTCACATACAACACACTGGGGGTCATTTATCTGTGTTTGATGAGATTTGCTACGTTTGCGTGTAATATTTTTTTAGTAGCTGCTAACAATTTTTTTTTTTTTTAAACAATTTTAGGTGTAAAAGTCTTTAAACCAACTATCCGAAATTAGTAGGCCTTTCATGTGTCTTTTTTTTTCTAAAACAAAGGGTTGGTTAGTTTACTTTTCATGTAGCTACATGTGCACATTGTGTAACAAATGAGTTAAGCGAGTCAACATGTTTGCTAAGTTATTGATCTGTGGTTTGTTACTAGGACTCGGTGGCTGTCTAGGCTGGGTCATATACACAATAACATAAGATTGTATATCTTATCTTACATACGTCCTCCACCCTAACATTGTTGACCTTTTAGCTTTCAATTTATACTCTACATATCAGCTGATTCAATCGGCTGCTGAGCCAACCTGCTGCTCATTCACAGGTTCCAGCTGTTGTGGTCAATATATAACCTCTAGATGAGGTATTTTGCCTGATACCATGTGCCTTATCACTGTCAATCATCCCATTAGGTACACTATATTTAAACCGTCCTCTAAACAAGTGGAACAATCATTGTCTGAAGCCTTGGCCTAAATGGTGTGCCTTTCCATGGAACAATGCTCAGGCCAGGTGAATAGCCAGACATGACATGTGTTTGAATACCAGATTCATCTGCTTGTCATCAAGTGTCAACTCTTTGATTAAGTAAGATGGATATAAGATAGATATGATGTTTTGACTGATATATGGAAGGCAGATCTGTTTGGTTTAGTTTGGCAGTTTTTCTTTTAAATGTACAGCACTTTAATCTTTTAATCTTGGCTTTATATATGAAGTTATGGTGACTACTGTAATTTTATAATGAAATAGAAGACCTAATATGACATGATTTTACACATTTCAAGTTCAGAATTAGATGCAAAATGTATTTTTTAGCTGCTTATTGAGACTAGAAGCTAAAAGTAGCAATACTTAAAGTGCGTGGTAGAGCTTTGTCTGGTGTTGCAGATGTTTTTCAACTGTTACTTTCATGACATCGTTGCACCTTGCTTTCACTTTCCCCTCTTTTTCTAGATAGCATAGTAGTACCTGGGTCAGAGGAAGGATGTGTGTGTGTGTGTGTGTGTGTGTGTGTGTGTGTGTGTGTGTGGTGTGGATAGGGGCTGGAAAGCATAGCTAAACGGATTCTGTTACCTTTCTTTTCATAATTTATTCTCTCAGTCACTGTCCCCACTCTGACCTCAACAGGAAGTGACACTCCCAGGCTCAAAAGAGAAGTCTCAGAGAATGAACTTGGTGACAAAATTGTGAAAACTGAGAAATGATCACCTAATTTCCCTTGCATGCACACCGTACACTCACAGGCTGTTTGTCAGTGAAATAACCTTTTGTAGAGGTGGGATTAGAGAATGAATACCCTCAATGCTTCCAGTCTGTTGCTGTGCCTCCTATTTGGAGCTGCAAAGTGGGTCCCATGAAATCTAAACGGGTAATCAGGTTTCTGGTTCAAGAGAGCTGAAAAACATTTGTTGATGACTGGGTTATTGTGCACCCTGACCCAAAGCCTGTTTTTAATAATAGTTAAATAGTCGATGTAGCCACCAGGTCCTTGCCAATAATGATGTGGATTTTGTTCTTTGTCCAGCACATGCAGTCTTGTTTGTGTCTGTTGGAAAATCTTTGTGCATTCATCCACCAGAAATGAATAAAAACCACAATACTCAGCAGGGCTCTGAGCTCAATTTGTATTAACATACAGTTGGCTACAGAAACTACCATTAAAGTATTTTTTGGTACACAGTAGAATGAGTTATGAAATTGCAGCACCACAATATGAAAATGATAGCATAATAAAATAATCTCTAAGTGCTAACAATAAGAAATGTTTCCATTGTGTTTCTTTCATTTTGTTAATTTTATCTGTGTTATCTCTTCTATCTTTTCTCAGTATACTTCTCCAGCATATTCAACAATGTCTGCGGATCCCCTGCCTGAATGCCCAGTCTGCATTGATGATTTGAGGTTAGACATCTTACAACCAAAACACCTCTCTGAAACACCCTGACTGCCGGTGTCTGTGGAACACAGCTGCCTTCGAGTTCCTCTTCCTGGCCTTTGCTGTTGATCAACCATACTCTAACTCTAGGAATGCTTTGTAGCAACCTCTGGATAAAGACACCGGAAAAGAGAATTTCCCTGTAGAAATCAGGGGGAAAATCAGTATATTAAGTTACTGGTATATCCACACCCAAGAAAAGACCTTCAGCCTCAGACAGGGCCTCTCCAGCTGCCCCTCCCCCTTGCCACCCCAAGTACCATGCTGGGTACACTCCTGCGGAGGAACATGTCCCAGAAGCTGAGTGTGCTGCTGCTGGTATTCGGCCTGGCGTGGGGGCTTATGCTGCTGCGCTACACTGTGCAGCAGCCTCGCCATCAGAGCAGCGCCGAGCTACGTGAGCAGATTCTGGAGCTCAGCCGGCGATACGTCAAGGTCCTAACAGAGGAGAACCAGAATGCACCAGGTGGGCCACAAGGAACCTCCATGGCTGGTTACGGTAAGCATTTAAGAAGAAGTCAGGAATGATACTATTCACTACTGCACACATCAAATGACTTGCTTACTCCTGTATGAACGTGTGTGTTTTATAGTTGTAAAAAAAAAAAAACATACTCAAGCATTGATTTGTCATCTCTCTCCACTCTCTCTCATTTACACACAGCTGATCTGAAGAGGACTATAGCTGTGTTACTGGATGATATTCTGACACGGCTGGTCAAACTGGAGGGGAAAATCGAGTTGGTGGTCAATGCCTCCTCCACTAACACCTCCCACACAGCAGGGGGCGATCTTGCTTCTGCTCCCGCTGCCCTACAGAAATCCTCAAAGCAGGAGACACCTGGCAGCCACCCAGGGACGTCACGCCTTCACCCACACATCCCTAATAGGCCTCGGCCACATCAAGGAGCATAGTCTTGATAGAAGTATTGGTTGTTGGGTTTTTTTGTTTTGTTTTTTTGCTTTTCAGCACATCACACTTTCCAGCATTTATCACTGATGTAACAACATCAGAAACGTGAAAAGCAATAGTGAGACATATGGACATCCAGAAACTGAAACTTCTCAGATGGATGCTTTCTCAGAAATGTTCAGCCAACTCAGAGGGAAGAAGAGGGACTTCTTTATGCTCTGTCCTATCATATGCTGATATTTATTTATTTTTTACCAAGACTATCCAGAACCTTTTTTTTTTTTAAATATTTGCATTGCTGATTTTATTTGGTTTAAATTTTAGCTTCTTTTTTTTATAATGCCATATTTGAATCTTGTGACTGTTAAAACAGATGCAAAGAGGTATAAACACTCTTGAAACTGAACCTGATTCTCATACGCTTTATCTTAAAAATGGCTTAAAATGCTCATCTATCTACATTGTAAACAATTTTACAATACTGCTTCAACATATCAAAATGCTGAACTAAACAGTAGTAGCTGATATTTAGGGATAGCTACATTTCAGTTTTTAGCTGGAATACTGTACTGAAGAAGATTCTACGTTTAGCTTACACATACAGTTTTAAGGATAATTAAACTGTATAGTTCACCTGTTAGAGATAATCCAAAGAATGTTATTTGCACTCCATCTGAAGGGAGTATACATGTGTATTCCCAATTGCTGCAAGACAGTGAGTTTTATGCAGAATATGATTGGATGATGCCTAATTGCAACCGTAAACAGGAGCGTGTGTGTGCTTTGTCTCTGTTGAAATCCAATGGTTCCTCCTTCACCTGGAGTTGAGAAATGTTTTAATATAGTTGTGGAGCAGATTGAATGTACCGTGTAGTCAGGCTTCAGCCCTGCATTGCTGTTGAGATGACTGACATACTGCTTACACATGTTCAGGGTTCATGTTGCACTGTGACTCTATAGAGATTTTCTAAAAATACTGGACTCACCCTACCTTGGCTGTACGAATATCTTAGAAGGGTGGACATCATGTCCTGTAATTTTCATTCTTCCAGCCTTTCTGCTGGCCCTGAGTGTGGTTTCTATAATACTGAGCAACTCAAACACCTCACCCTGGGCCGTCCAGAGGAAGAAGATCTTTAATTTGCTCATCATGATGCTCATTAACATTGTGACTTTGTGCTGCAAGAAAGAAAGGCAATACTGGGATTGTATGAGACAAAGTAACTGTGGGTGGCATATTAAAATATGAGGAAAAAAACTGCTTCATAATGTTGCACATTACAAGCTTAACTGTGGGTGAAGGCCACCAGATTGAATGATTTAACTGTGGTTCGAGTGTGTCAACACTGAGTGATGCCATAAATGTACTTTGCTTCATAATGCTAAAGTAGAAAAGATTGTGAGCCAGTCAGGTGCTGTGAGATAGCTTTACTAATAAATTGACCTCATGGAAAAATGATTCTCCCCCCCATTTTAAATCCATTTTATATCAGATCCACCACTTAATTCCTACACATTAAATGTGTTTAATAAAACATGCCTAGTGTCATTTAGGAGAGTTTACATCATGTGTCTCACAAAACGGAAATCCAGTTGTATTTGCTTCTAATCATATATTCAGCCATAGATTGTATCCTCCATGAGGGGTGATTGAGTATGCATAAGTGAATGTAAGACCAGTTTTCGATTTGTTCAGGTTTTACTGACCCCACTGCAAAACCCTGAAGTACTTCATGTTATAAACATACTGTCAGTGGTTATAAGAAAATTCCGTCTTACTGTGGACAGAGGTGGAAAGTAAGAGTCTGTTCAAGCACTGTGTTTAAGTACAATTTCGAGGTACTTATGTCTGTGTATTTGTATTTCCATTTTATGCTATTTTCTAATCCTACTCCAATACATTTACTTGACAGCTGGCAAGAGGTAAGGATTTTACATTACATTACATTAAAAATTGGCAGCTTATAAAATATAATCCATTACTGCAGACTGAGCTACCAGACAGTATGTAAAGTAAAATAAGCTCCATCTCAACCAGCTTTAACATTCAAATGATTATTTCAATAACATGCATGATTATGGTAACTATAACAATGAATGCAGGCATTATCCATAATGTGTACAATAGTTTTACCTTTTAAGATTTTTAATGCAGAACATTTACTTGTAATGGGGTGATTTGTATGCCGTGGTATTGTTTTTTCTACTTAAAAGATCAACATTTTCTTCCTTCCGCTTCAGAAGTTTTCAGGGTGTTTAATGAGACGTTCAAGTACGCAAAGTTTTTGCATTAAAGGGGCGAGGGAGACGAGACCGGATATGACATCAGATTCTGCAGTACGTAAACATACCAGATACCACCCACCACCTCACGCGCCATCTTCTAGCTAGTAGCCGGCCAGAATAACGCACAGTAAAACCTTAGTGCAGTTTATTTTTGACAAAAAAATACTCTGTCGTACTAGCTATACTGAACAATGAGTGACATTGAGGATGGAAATTACGACCGACGGGTAAGTAGTTAGACTGAATGAAATTAAATATCTCCCTTTCTTTCTTTTCCTTCCGTGTGTCTGCCGATAGAGTACACCGTAGGCGAATTCACCGCTAACGCCAGCGACTGTAACGTGAACAGCTACATTTGAGCCAACGCTAAATTAAAAGCTAAACGACGACGTTGGCTAATGCTTTGTTGTGTAACGTTACCTGTGTTAGAAAGGCAGAGAAGTGTGTTTTTTGTTTTTTGTTTGTTGTTTTGTTTTTTGGTTTTGCCTCAACCCAACAATGTTCTTCAAAGTATTTGGTGCACGAATGTTTCCCGCTCTGCTAGCGAGTCTGCCTCAACCAAACTCCTCTTAACGGCAACCTACGTTAGCTTAAGAAAACCACCCGCCACAGACCGTAATATTTGCAATTTGTGCTATTTTTTTTTGCGTTATCAGTTGAATGCATTACACCCGAGTCACTCACTCAATTAATAACGAGCTATCTCCCACGTTTGTATATCGTTCTTTTGTGCGGATATCACGGTTAGTGCTGCAGCCATTGTTGCACTTTGACAACCTTTTGTTTTTCCTGATTTAGCTTTAAGGTAACTTAAGTCCTAAGCCTCTCTTCCTTCCCTGCTTTCACGCTCTTATTTTGCAAATTGAAACATTGCTACAACTTATACTTAATTTCTTTACTTGTACCATGTAGCTTAAATTGTAACTCTGCTCATTCACGTAATTTTTTTTGGAATATTAAAACTTTATGTAGCAACAATGTAATTGTACTGCATTCAGTGTTCCTTTTCATTTCATATAAAATATTCTTTTTTTTTTTTTTTTTTTAAAACCTATGATCTTAATTTTATTAAATGTTCTTTTTTCATTAAGGTTATTGATCGTGAAGGATTTGAAGAGTTTTATCCAAGAATGCTGAAGAAAATTTTCAAGATAAAAGAAGGCTAATGAAAACATGTACAGAGCAGAACATAGAAGTGGAAAGGGAGGAAATGTGACGGAAGAATGGTGTCAGATAGAAGCGCTTGCAGTGTAATGGCTAAAATGAAACTGGTTTCAGTTTGGGTGAAGAGAGGAAAAACAGACCCGGAATCAGAAAATGAGAAAACTGAAAAAAGAAGAATGAAGAACGATAGAAATCCTGAGAGAAGGGAGTAGCGTGTAAAGAATCTGGAAGAATGAATGTGTCCGTAGGTTAAGTAAATATACTGTTTGTGTCACAAATGTCTTTCTATACCATGCTCCTTTTATGTAACATGAAAATGCATGTTTCATTTTTTTCCCCCTGATGGCCCAGGTGGACATGGAAATAGACCTGTTATATACATTTGATTTACATGGTTAATAATAGGACAAAACCAAAGATTAACTTATTGAAATTATAAGATTACTAACCCTTTCCTCCACAGTACATAAGCTGTGCATTTTAGACAGGTGTACTGTATGTGTCCAACATACTCTACCACATCTCACTATTGATTGTGTTTCTGTATAAAGAAATAAATGTATTTGTCCATGAGAAAGTTGTTAACATGCTGCTGTGGCAATAGGGGTCACGCTCCCCATCTAAATCGGATCGTGAGAGTCCAGCTCGGGTCAAGTCGGAGAGCAGGTCCGGCACCCCGAGCCCATCCCGGGCCTCCAAACGCTCCGAGTCCAGATCCCGTTCTCGGTCAAAATCTAGGTATGTTGTTGCCATTTTATAATAGCCTTTGTGATATTGTGATCATATCACGAACAAATAAACGCTCATTAGGGGCTGAAATGTGTCACTCAGTGATTTGAAGCCTTCCTTTTCTGTCACTATCATCTCTAACTTTTCATTTGTTGTGTACCAGTGAATTTATTGCCTCTTTTTTTCTCCTGTATCCTTTTCAGGTCTCGTTCTAGGCGGCACTCAAACCGCCGCCATAGCCGTTCACGCTCTCGGTCCTATTCCCACCGGAGGAAGTCCCGCTCTCGTTCCTACAGCCCTGAATACCGCCGCAGGAGGAGCCAGAGTGCTTCCCCTATGTCAAACCGGCGCCGTAACACTGGCAGCAGGGTGAGTCTGATGAGATCTGAAGATGGGGCAAAGTACAGCAGGCAACAGAAGGAGAACCAGAAGACACTTTGTGTATGCACGCACACATTGATATGGTGATAGTACTGAAATTTTGAACACATTTAGAATTTCTCCTTTAAAGTCAGGAGCAAGTGAATTTCTTATTCTTATTTCTGAGGAAGTGTAATTTTTCTGATGTTTGTGGTTAATGCTGTGGGAAACCACTTTAAACTGACATTTAATAACCCCTTTTTATTAACCTTCCCCTCCTTCCATTATATCAACAGAGCCATGACTTGACAAAAGAAGCATACAGTCATGGTGGTGGTGGTGGTGGTGATGCCGATGTTAGGGTATGTGGACCTTTTTAACATATTTTGGGCAAGAGAAATGTACTGTTTGTATGTGGGTCAAAGGTGCTGCTCCCAGTGTAGTACTTGATTTGAGATAAAGGGTAAATATAACTTAGAGGAAATCAAATAGAACTTTGCACAGTATATTTAGACAGTGGGGCTTGTTTGCAACCAAAATGGCATATTACAGTGATATCTGATGTCTGCAATGTGCATAGGATCACCTTCTGAATTAAAGTATATTTTGTAACACTGGTTCAAAGTGGGCATTGGCCAACTTAACATGGTAATTTTATCACTTAAATATAATATCTGCATGATTTCAGGTGTTTGTCAGCATTCTTAGTTATAATGTGATATATCTCTGTTTTATTATAACAACTAGAAAAATATGTATAGTTAAAGTAATATATATGTATACTTCTTAATGCATTCTTGAACTTTACTGTAACAATGTGATCTAAGCAAGGGAGCCGTGAATGTTTTTGATCAAATGGCTAATGGAAAATGCTAAATAAAGCGTGCATTTTATATGGGGAGACATTGATGTTTAGTCATAAATCAGGGCAGGTACTTTTAGATCTGTTTTTCTTTCAGCACCATGTTAGACTTTAGTTTGTGTAATGTCAATAGTGTTTATAGTACACTGCTGCTTTAAGCGGTCCATGTGATCATGCAAAGCAGGAATTATGTGAGAAAGAGCAAAGGAGGCAAATGAAATGGGTTTTGTACTACATGTAATTGTCCCAGGGGCATCATTTTTGAAAGCTCTTTAAGGGGTTATTAAAGCTGTCAAAGTTTACCCACTGAGCATTTACTGTTGGATTGGTACAACTGGAGATGCTTGAAGAGAATGGTTTTGTTACCCTGTAAAAATTTACATAGATTCTTATCTTTTAGTAGCAACTGCCTTAGTTGTAAGCTAGTAATGTAAGAGAAAGTATCCACTGTAGTTGGAGTAGTACCTCCTCCATAAACAGCAGCTAGTAATAGTTTTTTTTAAAGTTAATTAACAACAATCAAAACTAAATTAATTCATGATATTTTTGGCACAGATTTGTGCCCAGTGAATTTAACAAACACAATGCTTTCATGAGTATGAAGAAGCATAATAAATCCAGTAAATGGATTTTGTATGCGAAGTGTAAGATGGATAAACTCTAACCCTTATTATTAACCCTTCTAGGCGAACCCTGATCCCAGCACATGTCTGGGCGTGTTTGGCTTGAGCCTGTACACCACAGAACGTGACCTGAGGGAGGTGTTTTCACGCTATGGTCCTCTGGCAGGGGTCAATGTGGTGTACGACCAGCGCACGGGTCGTTCCCGTGGCTTTGCCTTTGTTTACTTCGAGAGAATTGAGGATTCCAAAGAGGTATGGGAAATGTTTGTGGTTTTGTTAATTGGTCAGAAAGCCGATGATCTTATCTTCTGGTCCCAGGGACTCATCTGTTTTCTGTCGTTTGATGTAGTTAATTCCATTCATCTGGTGTTTAAGGTGTAAAATACTGACTAATTAGATGAATATGAAAATTGGCATGGCTGTAGATTCTAGGAG